GGGGTGCTGAGCCTGAGCGTGAGGAGCTTGGGGGTGCGGAGTCTGGGGGTGCGGCGCCTGAGGGTGCTGAGACTGCTGGTGCGCGGTCTCCTTGGAGTGGCCGCCTTCGTCCGCGTGCGCCTCTCTCCCCTCAGCAGCTGCACGAGTGGTACGCTTGCCGTCAGGTCGCGCTGCTGGAGCTCGGGGCTCTGCCTCTGGAGGTACTTCTGCTGCCGTCGCTGGAGCTGGGAGTGGTATACTAGTACTTTGTCTACTGGAGGTGCTGGAGTCGCTGGTCCCGGAGGTGCTCGTACTGGAGGTACTAGAGCTGCTGGGGCTGGAGGTGCTGCGTCTGGGGGTGCTGCTGTTGGAGACACTGAGGCTGAAGACCCTGGGACTGGAGGTGCCAGTTCTGAGGGTGCAGCTGCTGGAGACACTGAGGCTGGAGACCCTGGGACTGGAGGTGCTGGTTCTGGGGGTGCTGCTGCTGAAGACACTGAGGCTGGAGACCCTGGGACTGGAGGTGCCGGTTCTGGGGGTGCTGCTGCTGGTGACGCTGGTCCTGGAGATGCTGGCGCTGGAGCCTCTGGAGCTGCTGGTGGAGCTGGTCCTGGAGGTGCTGGCGCTGGAGGTTCTGGAGCTGCTGGAGGTGCTGGAGCTGCTGGCGGTACTGGAGCTGCTGGAGGTGCTGGAGCTGCTGGTGCTGGTGGCACTGCACAGCCGCGACTGTTCTTCGCTCCGCCGTCTCCGTCGTCTCAGCCACCGCCTGGCTCTATGCTTCGCCAGGTTCTTAGCCTCCCGTCTTCTACTGGTCTTCCGTTACAGCCTGGCTCACCGCTGCCTGCTCCTTCTCCTTACACTGAGCAGCCAGGGGGTCTTGCTGAGCGTCGTGTGCCTGCGTCGCGTCTTGTCTCGCCTGTTCGTTCTGGTCGTACCGGTAGTCGTGTTCCTCGTCCGCGTCCGCCGGCTGTCTCCGGCACGCACCTCATGGCCCTTCGTCCTTCCTCTGCTCCGCAGCGTGTTCCTCTGCCGTCTCCCCCTACGTCCTCTCTGCCGGACGTTGCGGACCCTGAGTCCGACCAGTTTCGTGCTGCACACCCTACGGTCACGCGTCTATTAGCCACTGTTGTCACTGACCCGTCGTTTGAGTCTGCTGCTGCGTCTGCCTTGGTTGCTGAGCTTGTTGACTTTGCTGCCTGTCGTCTAGACTACTCTGCTAGTCTTGTTGCTGAGTCTGAGTCTGTCTGTCCTCCGTCCGTCGGGGGTGAGTGTGCTCTTGGCACGGACGTCCTTGAGGACAGACAGGAGGACATTGAGTGTCTTGCGGCCGCTTTGCCTCATCTCGTTGTCATGCTGCTTGCCCCTAAGGGAGACCCGGATGCACCAGAAATCTCGACCCCGCGCTCTTACGCTGAGCCGATCGCGGGTGAGTACTCCTCTCAGTGGCAGGCAGCCATGGATGCACAGATGGCATCCTGCAAGTCCACAGGCACTTACGTCAATGAGGTTCCCCCTCGTAGGGCGAACATCGTCGATGGCATGTGGATTTTCAGGATGAAGCGGCCGCCGGGTTCTCCACCTGTCTTCAAGGCTCGGTACGTTGTTCGAGGCTTCAGTCAGCGAGAGGGAGTCGACTTCTTTTAGACCTTCTCCCCCACCCCAAAGATGACCACTCTTCGGGTGCTACTGCATGTTGCCGCTCACCCTGACTACGAGCTTCACTCTCTGGACTTCAGCACAGCCTTCTTACAGGGCAGCCTGCACGAGGAGATCTGGCTGCGCCGCCCACCTGACTTTACTGGGTCGTTCCCTCCTGGTATCCACTGGAGCCTCCGGCGGCCAGTCTATGGTCTCCGCCAGGCGCCTCGTAGGTGGCACGACACACTGAGGACTACACTTGCGGCTCTTGGGTTCGCTTCTTCGACAGCTGACTCGTCGCTGTTTCTGCGCACCAACACTTCGCTGCTGCCGTTCTACATCCTCGTGTACGTCAACGACTTGGTCTTTGCCACTGCTGACACTGAGGCTCTCGCCCTGGTGAAGTCGGAGCTGCACAAGAGACACACGTGCACAGACCTGGGTGAGCCGCGCAGTTTCCTTGGCTTGTAGATCACCCAGGACCGAGCACGCCGCACCATCACACTGACTCAGTCACACATGGTGCAGCAGGTCCTTCAGCGCTTCGGCTTCACCTGGTCCTCGCCACAGTCCACTCCTTTGGCTACAGGTCACTCGCTCTCAGCTCCACCTTCGGACGAGTTTGTAGAGCCGACTGGTCCTTACCCAGAGCTAGTGGGCTGCCTCATGTACCTGATGACCTGCACTCGTCCTGATCTTGCGTACCCTCTTGGCCTTCTGGCACGCTACGTGGCTCCTGGTCGGCACTGAAAGGTGCACATGGATGCTGCGAAGAGGGTACTGCGCTACCTGTGCAGTACATCGGGCATGGGGCTCGTGCTTGGAGGACGGGGTGACGTGGTCCTCACTGGACACTCTGACGCAGCTTGGGTTGACGACCTGGCGACACAGCGGTCGTCACAGGGTTACACTTTCAGCCTTGTCTCCAGCTCTGTTTCTTGGCGGTCTACTCGCTCTTCTTCTGTTCTCGGCTCCAGTTGTGAGGCTGAGATCTACGCCACAGCCATGGCTGCACAGGAGTTATGCTGGCTCACCTACCTACTGACCGACTTGAGAGAGAGGCCTCGTTCTCCTCCAGTTCTGTACGTGGACAACAAGGCCGCCATTGCCTTGTGTCAGGAGCACAGACTGGAGCAGAGAACGAAGCACATCGCTCTGCGTTACTTCCTGGCTCGAGAGTTGCAGCAGCGTGGTCAGCTTCGTCTTGCTCACGTAGCCACTCGGGCCAACACTGCTGATATATTCACCAAGGCACTTCCGTTTGGTGATCATCAGCGCTTCTGTACTTTGTTAGGCCTTGTGCCTACGTTTCTGCACTTGCTGTAGCCTTTGCTTGTACTGTGATACATATGTATATACATATAAATCTACCTACATGCTTGCTCTTACTAGGTAGTGATCACTGTGCTGTTCTTGTTGCATATATACCTCTGCATGTGAACTGGCCTTGTGGGCCCTTGCTTGTGCTCAGTGTGTGTGGTGACGTTGTGATCCACCCTGAGCTTGCTTTGCTTTTCTTGACTGGTCTTGTGACCCCTTGATCTCCCCCACTTTGCCTATGGGGGAGTGTCAAACTATATATGTATCATATATGTGTAGGCTGTAGTGGGGTAGCCAATATGGGGTATAGCCGCTTTAAGGGTTTCATACTTGTACCCAACTCCTTCCTAGTTCATTCATTCCTGCCTAGCGTTTCAGAGAACTCATTCATCGGGTTTCGTTTTGTTATGTTTGTTTGTTTTTTTTTTGTCAGTACTAAGTAATGAAATAAATCAGAGGGCCTGACATATGGGGTAAAAAGAGTGCAAGAGTGCAAAAAATGGGGATGCGCCAATACCCAGGGGATCGTGGTACTCCAGTAAAATTACCCCTGTTTCAAACCACCAATACGAGCCCTGGACCTCACTGACAAGGACGAAGGCTCCACCATGCAAGAACCCAAATGAGTAGGTTGGTGCGGCTTGGTTCGGACAGAACAGAATGGAGCTCGTATGTCGGCGAAGCAGAGGGGAGGGCAATGACAGGGGCAGGAAAGGAAGGAACCGCTGTTGTCTGCCCTCCCCCCGCCTATGGTCCCGTTTACCTGGGGCGACAGGGGCACGCAGGTGGGGCAGAAATCGGAACAGTTTGCGCAAAGAAGTGCAGTGGATTTGGGGATAAGGATGAGGATAAGGACGCGTGATAAGGACACATTACATAAAGAAACCGGATGAGGATTGGGATCACACACCGAAATCCAGAGCATCGATCGCCACAGCCAGGTTTCAAACTGCGCGAGAAACGATCGTCCGAGGGAACCCTTATTGGCAGATTTTGATAACGTTTCGAAGTGTTGTGAATGCTTGAAGTGGGATTTCAGTGCGGTGGCGGTTCGACATTGGACGATCTTAATGTGTCATGAGTTTACGCGAAAACTAACGAAAGAAGGATACCCTAGCATTCGCAAATTTGCGAAGCTGTACACTCAGAGCGTGTTCCTACGGACCCCTATCAGGTTAACCCCTTGTCAGACTCGGCTCAAACACCAAAATTTCAGATTGATCTTGTTTCGTATTAGCGTTTTTTCTCGTTTGTGAAGTGCGCGAGAAAATGCGTTGGGTGACGTGGCACTGCGCAACGACTGTTTGACCGAAATTCTTTGTATGCTTCTTACCCGACAAAACAGTACATGTGAGAAATTTCGCACGATTGCCTGGCCATTGCTCACTGAAACAGCACGTGTGAAAGATTTCGCACGATTGCCTGACAAGGCTCGCTGAAACAGCACGTGCCAAAGATTTCGCGCGACCGATTCATTGAACAGCAATGTAATTTTCCGAGTCCGAAAAACAGCGTTTATAACGAAATCGCTTGCATGGACCAGTCTGACAAGGGGTCACCCTGATAGGGGTCCGTAGGAACACGCTCTCACACATCGATCCTGATCGATGTTTCAATTGTGACGCGTCCTAAGAGAGGGCGAGGGGGGAATGGGAGGCGGGGAAGGTATTGTGTGTGCGCTAGGCTGACTGGGAAGGTGGTTCTGCGAAGGTGGCGCAGTTTGAGTGAATACACTGACATATGAATGCATTACATCCTTGATGCATTTTGTCAAGTCTCTACACTGTCAAACTTCCAAATGCCTTACCAAAGCAATTTCTCCACTCCCTATCCAACCCTCCCCCTGTTGTGCTAAAGCAACTAGACACTGCACCAGTCTCTGCACCTACGTCGTGAACCTCATGGATCTCATCCTGAGCCAGAAATCGTTTTGGGATGCCCTGGTAATGACGAAGTCAGAAAGGGAGGGAGGGGAGTGGAAGGAAGGAAAGCAAGAGTGAAAAGGGGAGGGAAAGACGTGAAAGGCGATTGGTGCACACAAAGTACGGTAAGAAGCCACTCACCTGATGAGTTGTGCAAATAAAGGAGTGATTGGCATTCTCCTGTCAAGCAGAAGCTCCCCCGTACAGTTGTTGCCGGTCCAGTATTCGCGTGACCTGAAGAGCGGCGTGCCGTCGTTTGTATTGAACACTAAGTATCGTCTCGTGAAGTTGCCAACCCTCTCCTTGGGAACTGGCGTGCATGTATTGATGTTGGCACGCACAGTGTACGGGCGGGATCCACCGTCTCTTACTTGGTCGCTATCGAACGTCATACTAGCTGCTCCCACCGTAGACACGCCACCTGGATAATGTGTGGTGGAAGCGGCAAGCGGGGCACAAAAAAGTGGACTGTTCATGCGCTTGGCCTGGTTGCCCGATCTCTAGCAAAAATGTGAAGCAGTGAAGTGCGGATGCTGTATTGCTGGAACCACTGTAGCACACTCATGCCGCCGAATGCAGGCCCACCTGTCAGGCGCACGTATGGGCCATCCAGTTGGCGGCAGACTACATGCAGTAATTCACATGCAGTAATTCACATGCAGTAATTCACATGCAGTAATTCACATGCAGTAATTCACATGCAGTAATTCACATGCAGTAATTCACATGCAGTAAGGCACATGCAGTAATTCACATGCAGTAATTCACATGCAGTAATTCACATGCAGTAATTCACATGCAGTAATTCACATGCAGTAATTCACATGCAGTAATTCACATGCAGTAATTCACATGCAGTAATTCACATGCAGTAATTCACATGCAGTAATTCACATGCAGTAATTCACATGCAGTAATTCACATGCAGTAATTCACATGCAGTAAGGCACATGCAGTAAGGCACATGCAATAAGGCACATGCAATAAGGCACATGCAGTAAGGCACATGGCACATGCAGTAAGGTACATGCAGTAAGGGACATGCAGTAAGGCACATGCAGCAAGGCACATGCAGTGAGGCACATGCAGTAAGGTACATGCAATAAGGCACATGCAATAAGGCACATGCAGTAAGGCACATGGCACATGCAGTAAGGTACATGCGGTAAGGGACATGCAGTAAGGCACATGCAGTAAGGCACATGGCACATGCAGTAAGGCACATGCAGTAAGGCACATGGCACATGCAGTAAGGTACATGCAGTAAGGGACATGCAGTAAGGCACATGCAGTGAGGCACATGGCACATGCAGTAAGGCACATGCAGTAAGGCACATGGCACATGCAGTAAGGCACATGCAGTAAGGCACATGGCACTTGCAGTAAGGTACATGCAGTAAGGGACATGCAGTAAGGCACATGCAGTGAGGCACATGGCACATGCAGTAAGGCACATGCAGTAAGGCACATGGCACATGCAGTAAGGCACATGCAGTAAGGCACATGGCACATGCAGTAAGGTACATGCAGTAAGGGACATGCAGTAAGGCACATGCAGTGAGGCACATGGCACATGCAGTAAGGCACATGCAGTAAGGCACATGGCACATGCAGTAAGGCACATGCAGTAAGGCACATGCAGTACAGCACTGTGTTTCATCCAGCCTCAGGGTAGTGGTACCTCACCTTTGATGCAAGCGTCTTGAGTCATGCCATAGCCAGCAGGACACACGCAGTACGGAGCAAGGGAATTTTCCATTATTTCGAGTGTGGTATTGCAGGTGGCTCCAGTGGGGCACCTGCCACATGGCGTGTCTGAGAAACGCAGTAGAGGCAAGAGAGGGTGCAGCAGGGCAGTTTCATTAAAGGTGGGCAAGAATAGGAAGCGCCTTTGTTTTTAAAACAAAGGCAAGCAGTAAGTATCAATGCAGTGGTAAATCAGCATGAAATCACACCGTCCCATGACAGGCCCATGTGCGTCGAGGTCGTTCTTGAGGCGCCTCAAAAACAACAGGCCCATGTGCGTCACACCATACTAGCACATGCCTCGTCCAGTGCTACTTACCCCATTTACAATAGAGCAATCCAGTGCTGTTATCCTTCGCACAAGTCCCACCCGGCGAGCAGCCTAGAGCAAAGCATTTAGAATCTGAAACACAGAGATGGGAGTATAGCAGGTGTGTGACGAGTGCAGAGAAGGAAGGAGAGATAAGAAGATACGACAGAAAAGGCTACGAGGAGCATGGAAGCGAAAAGAATTGCAGCACAGGAGTACCTCTCAACACAAGAGCTCACCTAAACACAGGATCACCTTTGATCACAAGAGCCATTTGAAGGACTGAGTTTCAAAAGCAAGGCATGCCCTCTGTGTTGCACCCCTCTGACTCACCAATGCAAGAGAGCTTGTCAAAAGACAGCTTAAAACCAGTGCTGCAACTACAGGATGGATTTCCGTTCACATCCCTCGTGCAGTTGCCACCAGGCCCACATTTCACCGCATCACAGTTGTCTGCAGAAAAAGAGACCCATGCAAATGGACGAATACCATGATGCAACGAATACCCTGATTTTGACAACCGAGCGACAAAGTCAAGTATGCACGCAATTCAGTAACTCTTGCAAAAATTTTGGGCTGAGGGAGGCCAAGTTTCAAGGACTGGTTTTGACACGCAAGACGACACATCACACGCCCTCTGTGTTGCACACTCTCAAACTCACCAATGCAAGAAAGCTTGTCAGAAGACTGCTTGAAGCCTGTGTTGCAACTACAGGATGGATTTCCTTCTGCATCCCTCGTGCAGTTGCCGCCAGGCCCACACTTCACTGCATCACAGTTGTCTGCAGAATACAAAAACAATGCAGATGGAAGGATATTATGATATCACAAAAATTTTAATACTCGAACCTTAACAATACAAGGTCACAAGTTAAAAAATGTCTCATATGGGTATCACTTGCAAGGAAATTGAGTTGTGGGAGGGACAAGATTCAAGAACATTGTTTGAGACGCAAGGCACGCCCCCTGTGTTGCACACTCTTCAACTGCAAGAGAGCTTGTCAGAAGACGGCGTAAAGCCAGCGCTGCAAATACAGGATGGATCTCCGTTCGCATCCCTCGTGCAGTTGCCGCCAGGCCCACACTTCACTGCATCACAGTTGTCTGCAGAATACAAAAACAATGCAGATGGAAGGATATTATGATATCACAAAAATTATAATACTCGAACCTTAACAATACAAGGTCACAAGTTAAAAAATGTCTCATATGGGTATCACTTGCAAGGAAATTGAGTTGTGGGAGGGACAAGATTCAAGAACATTGTTTGAGACGCAAGGCACGCCCCCTGTGTTGCACAATCTTCAACTCACCAATGCAAGAGAGCTTGTCAGAAGACGGCATAAAGCCAGCGCTGCAAATACAGGATGGATCTCCGTTCGCATCCCTCGTGCAGTTGCCGCCAGGCCCACACTTCACCGCATCACAGTTGTCTGCAGAAAAGGAAACACATGCAATTTCAAGAATATCATATTATAAAAAAAAACTTCAATACCCAGATATTGACAATCAAGGGTTACAAAGTCAAGTGTGCATGCAATTTAGTAACATTCGTAAGGAAATCAAGTTGTAGGGAGGCCAAGTTTTACAGTTGCCAAGTTGCACTCCACCAACTCACCAATGCAAGAGAGCTTGTCAGAAGACGGCGTGAAGCCAGCGCTGCAACTACAGAATGGATCTCCGTTCGCATCCCTCTCGCAATTGCCGCCAGGCCCACAATTCACGGCATCACAGTTGTCTGCAGAGAAGCAACCCAGACAAATGGTAGGATATTGTGATATAAAAACACAGCCATCACAAAATCTTGACAATCAAGGGTCAAAGATTGGAAGAAATTCAGTAACATCTGGAAAACCCATGACCTGAAAATAAACGAGGTTAATATGACTGGGTTTGAAATGCAAAGCACCCTCTTTTCTTGTCTTGCACTCCTCCAACTCACCAATGCAAGAGAGCTTGTCAGAAGACAGCGTGAAGCCAGCGCTGCAACTACAATATGGATCTCCGTTCGCATCCCTCTCGCAGTTGCCGCCAGACCCACACTTCACGGCATCACAATTGTCTGCAAAGAAGCAACCCAGACAGGTGGTAGGAGATTGTAATATCATCAAAGTAGTCAGATTTATATGATTGGATTATATATGCAATGCACCCTCTCTCTCTGTGTTGCACTCCTCCAACTCACCAATGCAAGAGAGCTTGTCAGAAGACGGCGTGAAGCCAGCGCTGCAACTACAGGATGGATCTCCGTTCGCATCCCTCGTGCAGTTGCCGCCAGGCCCACATTTCACGGCATCACAGTTGTCTGCAAAGAAGCAACCCACGCAGATGGTAGGATATTGTGATATCACAAACACAGTCATTACCAAATCTTGACAATCAAGGGTCAAATATTTGAAGGCATTCACTAACATCTGGAAAGCCCATGACCTGAAAATAAGCGAGGTTAATATGACTGGGTTTGAAATGCAAGGCACCCTCTTTTCTTGTCTTGCACTCCTCCAACTCACCAATGCAAGAGAGCTTGTCAGAAGATGGCGTGAAGCCAGCGCTGCAACTACAGGATGGATCTCCGTTCGCATCCCTCTCGCAGTTGCCGCCAGGCCCACACTTCACGGCATCACAGTTGTCTGCAAAGAAGCAACCCGGACAGGTGGTAGAAGATTGTAATATCATAAAAGTAGTCAGGTTTATATGACTGGATTATAAATGCAAGGCACCCTCTCTCTCTGTTTTGCACTCCTCCAACTCACCAGTGCAAGAGAGCTTGTCAGAAGACGACGTGAAGCCAGCGCTGCAACTACAGGATGGATCTCCGTTTGCATCCCTCTCGCAGTTGCCGCCAGGCCCACACTTCACGGCATCACAGTTGTCTGCAAAGAAGCAACCCAGACTGGTGGTAGGATATTGTAATATAAAAAAGACAGTCATTACCAAATCTTGACAATCAAGGGCCACAGATCTGGATACCAAGGCATTTAGTAACTTCCGGAGAAACTATGACCTGAAAATATGCAAGGTTTATATGACAAGGTTTGAAATGCAAGGCACCCTCTTTCCCTGTCCTGCACTCCTCCAACTCACCAATGCAAGAGAGCTTGTCAGAAGACGGTGTGAAGCCAGCGTTGCAACTACAAGATGGATCTCCGTTCGCATTTCTCGTGCAGTTGCCGCCAGGCCCACACTTCACTGAAGCACATGTGTCTGCAAGGAAAGGATACGGAAAAAAGGGAAGGATGATGAGATTTCACAACAAAGGGACCCAGAAAAATTTGCAACATGAGACGATGAGAATTATGCTGAGCGTCAGAAGCCTGTGTGTTGACCTATACAAAGATATCACAAATGGAGTTGGGTAATAAGGAACGAAAGAACCATGGGCCACCTATAATAAGATATCGTGCGATCGATAGTGCGTCTCACCCCCCCTGTAACACACAGGTATGGCTGTCTAGATGTTTCTTACCAGTTGGCACTGTAAATGATGAAAAGGGTCAACGTCCATGGGGGTTAGAACAAACGAAATTAGGCATGCCGACCACCATGAAGAGTATCCTATACCAGATTTGCAAAGCATTGCGCAACTAATAACGCTATGCTCACACCAAATATTTCTTTTGAAGCAGCTGATCAAGATCATACCTCTAACCCGGTATCACAATGCCAATGCTTAATGTTGAAGTAGAGAACACGTTGACATGTGTCGTGGTGTTAGCTAATCAATCGGTTTACCATGTTAGAGCAAGTCAAGCAGAGCAACTCAACCACCTGAACTCACCAACGCATGTGTCATTGCTCGGAAGCCTCTTGAAGCCACTGACGCAATCACAAGTTGCATTTCCACTCGCATCCTTGTTGCAGCGGGAGTTGGCCATGCAAGTCACCAACTTGCACTTGTCTGTCATGCGTGTGGGTTTGATGAACAGAAAATGAAGGTGGGATAGAAGTGGGGGGATGGAGATGTAGGCAACACAAATGCTTTGAGCTTCGAAGAACAACCATTCACCAGCAGAGGTGCCATTGAACAGCCTTCCAAAGACCTTGTCAAGTGCCATTGAACAGGATGCTTCCTGTTCCTGTGATGCAAGTGATGCAAGAAAAGGTGTGTTGAGCTGAGATTGACAACAAAATCCTTGCCAGGAATTCGAGAGCTTGCTAACCAGCACCAGTTTTTTACCCCTCCCCTCCCTCCCTCCCTCCCTCCCTCCCTCCCTCCCTCCCTCCCTCCCTCCCTCCCTCCCTCCCTCCCTCCCTCCCTCCCTCCCTCCCTCCCTCCCTACCTCCCTCCCTCGCTTCGCCCCTCGCTCGCTCCGTCCGTCCCTCCCTCCCTCCCTGATTCCCCCACCTATTATTCTTCCCTCTTTCCCTCACAACGTGTCTGGATGGTTGGTTATCACGCCAGTCTCACAAACTGGAGGTCTCCGGTTCGCTTCCGGGTTCAGACAGGTTCTTCGTCTCCAACACTCTTGTGCACATTTTGCCACACGAGGTATCTCAGCAGCGTACCTTGGATTGGCAGGTGCCATTCAACGCAGCAAAGCCCGGGTTGCACTTTTGAGGCGCCTCAAAAGTACCTTGGCAAGTGCCATTCCTTGCAACAAAGCCCGAATTGCATGCACAGGTGACTTTTGAGTCGACTCAGAAGGCAAAAGGAGAGACGATGTATCTCTAGCAGCATACCATGGCAAGTGCCATTCCTTGCAGCAAAGCCCGGGTTGCATGCACAGGTGACGCCCTTGCTGTCACTCGTTGGCATGCACGTGGAGTTGCTCGGACACGTGGCGTGCTGGCAGGTGATGTCTGCCATGTCATGGGGAGCAGCAGCAGCAGGGATGCGTGCAGCGAGGAAGGTAAAACCATGGGCATGGAGTTATTAACGCAAAACACTCGTTTGCAGATGTTGTGTGCGGCAAGGTGGCAAGGTGGGATGGTGGAAAAGGAGGCAAGGAAGCAAGGTGACAAGGAGGCAAGGAGGCAAGGTGACAAGGAGACAAGGAGGCGAAGAGGCACAGTGGCACGCACCAGACTTGCAGGAAACAGAAGTCCAGCGAGAGACCGTCTTTGTGCTGCAAGGACGTCAGGAGCACATTCAGATCAGACGTTGCGAAACACGTCTAGATCAGGCATTAGGAACACTATCAGAGAGGATGTTAGAAAAACGTTGGGCTGGCAAAACCCGAGGCTTGACAGTGGCATTGGTAGAGAACACTCACCCACCAGCCCCAATCACCCACCAGCCCCAATCACCCACCAGCCCCAATCACCCACCAGCCAACAGCCATCACCCGCCTGCCCTCATCCACCTGCGGCCATCCACGTGGCTCTGACCCACGTGCCCCCATGACCCACGTGCCCCCATGACCCACGTGCCCCCATGACCCACGTGCCCCAACGATCCACGTGGCCCCACGACCCACCTGGGCACGTTGAAGAATCTGCGCAGGCCGGCGTATTGCGGCTTGAGCACCTCATCCAGCCCCTTGCCCTTGCAGGCGGGGTTGGCAAAGAACTTGAGTTGCTTGCACGCCGCCCCCGCCTGCCCATCCGTGCCTGCCTCCTTCTCTCGCGAACCCCCTCCGCCCTTGCTACCGCCCTTGCTACTGCGGCCTTTGTTGCCGCCCGCAAGGCCGTTCCACCACACCTGCACGTCCCGCCCCGCCTTGAGAGCCCTGAGCGCGGCCTTGGGAAAGCTGAAGCAGCGGAGGGCGTCGAAGCTGACGTTGAGACTGACGCCCGACACCGTGATCTGCGTGCCCACCGCCACGCTCGCCTCCACCGCCCCGCCGCCGCTGCCAATCCCCACGCCCACCCCCACCCGCGTGCTCCCGTTTCTGCTTCCCACTGTGCTTTCGATTCTGAGGCTTCTGGCAGACATAGCATCGGCTGCGCCGCCGACGCCGCGCACTCGCGCGCGCGCGTTAGTAGTAAGGCGATCCGCGCGCTCGCCTGCCGCCGTGTGAGCCGTGACGATCGCTGGATGCAGAGTGGCGGTTTAGGGTGGGAGGTAAGCGGGAGGCAGCGGAAGGGTGCTAGGAGGGGCGCCTCTCAACATGAGAGAAAACGGAAGCGAGCCTAAGTTAGACAAGGATGGAATGGCTTTCCGCAGATAACGGCAAGGACGAGGAGAAGCAGGAGAGGAGAAGTGGACATGGCGACTCGAAGCTCACCGCAGATGACGGCAAGGACGAGGAGCGGAAGCAGCGCGGCGGAATTGGAGGCCATGATGGGTAGCACCCACAACCGAGTCACGAGTGTCGCGCGTTCGTCGACAACCGACAAGCTCTGGGTGACGCGACCGCTTGTCGCACGCCGCGTGACGCACGGGCAATGAATTGCGCAATGCTAGGAAAAGATGGTCGTGATACAATATTGTTGAGATGGTACAACACGAGGCTAGTGGTAGATAATAGTAGCATACAGGTACATAACAGTAAGAACTTCTTAAAATGTGTTGGTAAGTAGCCTGCTGACGTTGCTATCATACAGCACGACAGATGCGGCGGAAGAGATGTTGCCATGGCTGCTCTGGCGGGTGGTTTATAGATGAATCCGGGAGCCTAACGCTCAAGGTTGACAGTCCCCGCAGGAGGCGCTAGTACTAGGAACGCGATCGTGTGGCTGGAATGGGTCACATAGTTGTGACTTGTTGGTTCGGAGGCTTTGTGCTGAAAAACAAGTTTTGCTGACTCGATGAAGCGAGGAACGCGGCGGCAGCTGATGAATGATGGTAGAGCTTGACATAACTGAGGTAACAGCGTCGCAGCCTATCACAGCGCAAGCAGCTGAATTATTGCGAGTTTGACTCTGCCCGCAAGCTTCACTGCTGTAACAAATTCGCCACTCTCATTGCCTTTTCTCTCGCATGATCGCGTTTCCTGCGATCAGCCCTCCCTCGGCGATGTTCGCAGAGAACTCTAGCGTGATATGCAATCAGGGGACGAATTCAGTTTTGACGAAATGCAGTGGGTACTCGCCAGGCGACAAAGGCAGGTCGCGATAGATTTGCGACATCTTCCTAGTTACTGGCATCTTGCTTACTGGCCAGCTCGCTTGCAGAAGTTGCTTAAAGCCCGCGTCCCAAATTGCGGACCGCGAGGGTCAAGTTTTTAAAACTTGACGAAGTTGAGTGTCCAAGCTTTTGAAAGTCACGCACCTGCAATTTGGGACTTTCGAAGACAGATTCACTCACCAGGGGGAAAACCGAGGGTTGGCTGGGTCTCGCGAAAAAACGAACCTAGACGAAATTGCGAACTCTCGCCAAAGCCTACACCAGAAAAACTCCCTCTGGTCAACTTTTAAAAGCATGAACAATTTGGGCCGCCGGCTTTAAAGTAGAGAGAACATAAAAATCACTAAATACAACAATAACGTACTGACTGACACACAATATGTTCTCAAACATGTTCTCTAGCTCTCCAGCCATGGATCTTGTCAGGCTTATCAGAAGCTTCCATGCTAACTATTCAGTGGTTCTGAGCACACTACTATTAGTACTGCAACTGTCTGAACAAGCTTCGCAAACATAACCCTTTGTTTGTGCCATCCTGTTCTAACGAAAGACTTTATAGTGAGGCCCGGGACAGGACTGTTTTTTATTCGAGGAATTATGGTAACCAGATCAAATACGCTGATAGATCAGCCCTGCTTCCAACCTCCTACACATAGCAATTTCTCCACTACATAAGCCAACTCCTCGTGTCGTGCCTAGAACACCTTGTGTTGTGGCTGCCTGCACCAGTCCCTGCAAATACTGCCTGTACCTGTCCCTGCAGCTAATTCCCGCACCAGATGGAACTGATATTGCCACTAATCTCACCACTGCTTAGCAGTGAACCAGAAGGGGAGGGAAGAGAGTGAAAAGGAGGTAAAGGAAGAGTAAATAGGGGAGGGGATGAAACAGTGGGAAAGAGGAGGGAAAGAAGTGAATGGCGATTGGTGCACAGAAAGCAAACAGTGGGAAAGGAGGAACGCAGGTGAGGGATACGTCAACAGAACATCTGGGGCATTGTTGTCTTTCCAGAATGACTTAGGTGACTCACTTGGTGAAGACTGTACAGTAAGAAACGGTTGAAAGAGGCCCCGCAGACACAAGTTTCCCAGAACAGTTGCTGCCCGCCCAGAGCTGGAAAGTGTTGCACCGCAGCGTGCCATTCATATTGTACACGCCGTATCGTGTCTTGTAGTTTCCAGCCACCTCCTTGGGAAGATCCGTGCACCCATCCAGGTTGGCGCGCACGGTGTACGGCCGGGATGCCTTGTCCAGAGCCTTGGGATCCTGGATGAGCGTTATGCTCGCTGCTCCCACTGTAGACTTGCCGCCTGGGAATACAAGGTGCAAGTGGAGCACATGTGGAGTAGTCGCTAAGTAAGGAGAGGGTTGTGAATGCGCTGACTCTGGATGCCTCTGGATGCTTCTGGATGCCTCTGGATGCTTCTGGATGCCTCTGGATGCTTCTGGATGCCTCTGGATGCCTCTGGATGCTTCTGGATGCCTCTGGATGCCTCTGGATGCCTCTGGATGCCTCTGGATACCTCTGGATGCCTCTGGATGGCTGGCCTTCGGTAGGAATGTGAACCAGTCAACTGTGGATGCTGCCCGGATGCAACCACTGCAGCAAAGGTGGCAGTGCACTCAAGCCGCCCCATGCAGGCCCACTTGTGAGGCGCATGTTTAGTTTACATATGCAGTGGGATACATGCAGTGAGGCGCATGCAGTAAGGCACATCGAGTAAGGCACATGGAGTAAACCACATGATGCAGTAAGGCACGTGAATTAAGGCACCATGTCTCAGGGAAGTGGTGTCACACCTTCAATGCAGGCATCTTGGGTCATGCCATAGCCGTCAGGACACACGCAGTATGGAATCGGGTTGCCTGCCTTGGAAGGTGTGGTCTTGCAGGTGGCTCCCATGGGGCAATTGCCACACGGCGAGTCTAAAAGTGGCAGCATAGGCAAGAGAAGGTGCGGCAGGGCAGTAAAAAGACACACTGGGTTAGGTTGGGGACAAGGTTTGTTTTGTCACGAGCAAGGGTGGTCTTGCAGGTGGCTCCCGTGGGGCAGCTGCCACACGGCGAGTCTAAAAGTGGCAGTATAGGCAAGAGGGAGTGCGGTAGGGCAGTAAAAAGACACACTGGGTTAGGTTGGGGACAAGGTTTGTTTTGTCACGAGCAAGTGTGGTCTTGCACCTGTGATAGGGCAATAGAGAGTGCGATAGGGCAGTGCAGAGTTACAATAGGTTCGTTGAAGATGCGCAAGGATGGGAAAACCTGAAAGGTGTTTTGAGTTGACTCAAAATGAGTCGTGCGTTGAGTCGACTCAGAGCAGAGTGCGGTAGGACAGTGCAGAGTCACAGTAGACTCGTTGAAGATGGGCAAGGATGGGAAAAAACTGAAAGGTGAAGCGTTGCTGCCCAGCATGACAAGTAGTAAGACTCAATGCCGTGGAAAAAAGCATGACATTAACACCAGTCCGTGACAGGCCAGCCACACCATGGTAGCACATGCCCCCTCCCGTGATGGCTGCTCACCCCATTTGCAGTAGCGCACATTCATGCCCATCTGCTTCAGACAAGTCCCACCCGGTGACTCAGGAGTCAACTCAAAAGTCACATGCCCCCTCCCATGATGGCTGCTCACCCCATTTGCAGTAGCGCACGTTCGTGCCCATCTGCTTCAGACAAGTCCCACCCGGCGAGCAACCCAAAGCCAAGCAGACAACATCTGAAACATAAGCACAGCAGATGTGACGTGTGCAGCCAAGGAAGGATTGGTGTGAAGATAGGATGGGAATCGGTATGAACACAAAATCACCTTTGAACACAGGAGCACCTTTGAAAACAGGAGAGCAATTGTTTCTGATGCAAGCGTCACAAGAAATGATCTGTTGCATTGAGGAATGAAAACGAGTCAACAGCAACAAAAAGAATGCAATCAAGCAACATGCGAACGTTGTGCTGAGATAGATTTTGGACAGGAGAACTGGGGCAACAAGAACAAAACACTGCAGGCCTGCTTTTGGGTTTCGAAGCACCATGAGTTACCAGAACAAGTGCCATTGGCAAGCATGTCGAATCCATCGTTACAGGAGCAGGATGCAACCCCTGACCCATCCTTGCTGCACTTGGCGTTGGCCCCGCACTTAGCGCATGTGTCTGTCTCGCAAGTGCCATGAGAAAACGCGTGTTGAGTTGAGACATGTTTGAGAAAAACGAGTCAGCAGCAACAAAACAGCGCAAGAGAGAAACATGAGAAACGATGTGTTGAGATCAATTATGTGAACGGGATAACAAGGGAACAAGAACAAGGTTGGGCTTCAAAGCAGACATGCCATGCCTCACCAGCACAAGTGCCATCGGCAAGCATTTCGAATCCCTTGTCACAGGAACAGGTTGCATTCCCTACCTTATTAATACTGCACGTGGCGTTGGCCCCACACTTCATCGAAGCGCATTTGTCTGTGACCCAAGCGCAATGGGAAAGGGTGTGATGAGTTGAGATAAGTTTGAGAATAGGACGATGAGTCAACAACAACGAAACACTGCAAGTGAGAAACATGAAAAACGATCTGTTGAGATGGATTTTGGGAATGGCAAAACAAGGGAGAGAGAAAAAAAGTTTAGGGTAAGGGTTTAGGGTCACCGCGCCTTCACTAAACCAAGCAAGCTTGCTTCTTCATTTCAGAGCACCGCGCCTCACCAGCACAAGTGGTATCGGGAAGCATTTCGAAGCCCTTGTTACAAAAACAGAATTCTCCGCTCCCCTGGTTGCCACAAACAGCGTTGGCCCCACAGTCCCTCGGACAATATTCTGTGATGCAAGCGACACGAGAAAAGGTGCGTTGCAAAACGGGCCAACAGCAACAAAACACTGCATGCTAGCAACATGAGAATTGATGTATCGAGATAGATTTTGGGGACAGGAAAACGAGGAGACAAAAACAAAACGCTGCAGGCCTGCTTTTGGGTTTCAGAGGGCCTCGCCTCACCAACACAGATTTCGTCGGTAAGTAACCTGTAGCCCTTTATACAGGGACAGGATGTAACCCCTGACCCATCCTTGCTGCATGTGCCACGAAAACACTCCCCACTGTGACACATGCAATACAAGAACGTGCATTGCTTTGAGATACGATTGGGAATGGGAAAGCGAGACAACAGAAATAGAACACTGTACGCAAGCAACATGAAAAACGTTGTGTTGAGATAAATTTCGGAAACAAGAACACGCGCCAACAAGAACACGCGCCAACAAGAACACGTGCCAACAAGAGCAAAACACTGCAGGCTGGCTCTTGGGTTTCAAGGCACCAGGCCTTACAAACGCAGGTGTCATTGGCAAGCAACACGTAGCCCTCTAGACAGGAACAGAATGGAACCCCTGACCCATCCTTGCTGCAACTGCCCCCATACCCACACTTCATCGGATCGCATTTTTCTGTGTCACGTCCAATACGAGAAAAGGTGTTTTGCGTTGAGATAAGATTGGGAATGGGAAAGCGAGACAACATAAACAAAACACTGCATGCAAGCAACATGAGAAACTTTGTGTTTAGATACATCTTGGAAACGAGAACAGGAGTCAACAAGAACAAAGCACCGTAAGTATGCTTCATGCTTTCAAACCACACGCCTCACCAGCACAAGTGTCGTTGGCAATCCTCTCAAAGCCCTTGTCACAGGAACAGATTGCATTCCCTGCTGCATCCATGCTGCACTTAGCATTGGCCCCACACTCCATAGAAGTGCATGTGCCTGTGACCCAAGCGACATGATAAAATGTGTGTTGAGATGAGATTGGGAACGGGACTATGGGGTAACAACAACAAAACAAGGCACCCAGGCAATGGAAGGATGTCACATAAGAAAACTACAATACCCGGATCTTGACAATCAAAGGGAAAGCCGTTTAGTAACTCTTGCAAGAAAGTTGAGGGGATGGTAAGTTTCAAGTAATAGGTATGAAAAGCAAGGCACACCCTCTGTGTTGCAACCTCCCAACTCACCAATGCAAGAGAGCTTGTCAGAAGACGGCACGAAGCCAGTGCTGCAACTGCAGGATGGATTTCCGCTCGCATCCTTCGTGCAGTTGCCGCCAGGCCCACAATTGACCGTAGCACAGGTGTCTGCAGAAAAAAAAGGTCCAGGCTATGATATCCAAATCTTGACAATCAAGGGTCACAGGGTAGAATACACACGAAAGCCAGTAACTCTTGCAAAAAATATGAGCTGAAAGATGGTCAATTCCGAGTTGGGTTTGAAATGCAAAGCAAGCACTTTGTATCGCACCCCTCTAGCTCACCAATGCAAGAGAGCTTGTCAGAAGATGGCTTGAAGCCAGCGTTGCAACTACAGAATGGATTTCCGCTTGCATCCCTTGTGCAGTTGCCGCCAGACCTGCAAGTTACTGCAGCACAGTTGTCTGCATGCAAGTGGAAGGACATTATCATATTAGAGACCTATAATATCTTAGCCTTGGCAGTCAAGGGTAACAGAGTTAAATATGCAACCTCCCGACTCACCAATGCAAGAGAGCCTGTCAGAAGACGGCGTGAAGCCAGTGCTGCAAGTACAGGATGGATTTCCGCTCTCATCCCTCGTGCACTTGCCGCCAGGCCCACACTTTACTGACGCACAATTGTCTGCAAAAACCAAGACCCAGGCAAGAGGAAGGATGATCATCATATAAAAAAGCTATAACATCCAAATCTTGGCAATTAGGGGTCACAATTAGATACACACAATTTCGTATCTCTTTATAAATATTTGACGAAGAAACCAAATTTTCAAGAAACGGGTGCATCCTTCCAACTCACCAATGCAAGAGAGCTTGTCAAAAGACAATTTAAAGCCAGTGCTGCAACTACAGAACGGATTTCCGTTCGCATCCTTCGTGCAGTTGTTACCAGGCCTGCAATTCACTGAAGCACACAAATCTGCAAGGACATGATACGGAGAAAAGGGAATCTTGATGCGCTTTAAACTGACAACTTCAGACGCCGAAGGAATCCCATATTTAATGAGTGGAATCAAGAAGATGCAACGAAAGAATCATGGGTCATATACATAGAGAAGTGGTTGGTAGCGCAACACCACAAAATCATGTCCTTATTGAAAACCTTCCAGTTGGGCTGTCAAGATCCTTTCCTTATCACTAACCCCAATGTCACTATGTGTATGATAATGAGGTTTAACATCCGTGGGTTTTACGCAACAAATGAGATTCATACATTATGCATTGCGATCATCATGCGGGCTATTCTAGTTCGGATCTAAAAAGAACATGCAAGTATTGAGATTCTCACACCAAACCATTCTTTTGTAACAGCAATCAACCATATAATCACAATGCCATTGCTTCTTATTGGACTAGAGTACGCTCTGGCATTGGTGCTGGCTCATTGATCGACCATGTTTCAAGCATTATGCTTTATGGTTCACTTTAAGAGCAATACATAAGTTTTGCCCTTATTTGAACACACCTCAAGTTCGGTTGGGTTTTCCACCTGATTTGAACACATCCTTTCGGGACTGAATCTTCTCCTTGCTGCCTACTAATTTCCTTGCAAGGGCATTGAAGATCCAGAGGAGAAACTCAACCAGCTGAACTCACCAACGCATGCGTCATTGTTCGGAAGCCTCTTGAAGCCACTGACGCAATCACAAGTTGCATTTCCATTTGCGTCCTTGTTGCAGCGGGAGTTGGCCGTGCAATTCACCAACTCACACTTGTCTACCATGCACATGGGATAGAAGAAGAGAAATGGAGGTGGGATAGAAGAAATCAAGGTGGGATAAAAGTGGTGGAATGGAAATGGAGGCAACCACTGGCAGAAGAAAACACCTCACCAACACAATGCATCACAACGCGTATCTCTAAACACTCGTCACAGGAGCAGGAAGCATCCTGTTCCTGTGTGACGCAAGTAACACAAAACAAGGTGTGTTGAGAGTTAAGATTGGTCTAATAAAAACCTGCTACCCAGCACTATTTTCTTCACAATGCCCCCTACTCTGATAATTCAGTAGGGGTTCAAATACATACATGCAGCAGTAGAATTCTCAAGCAAAATGGGTATGTGTAGGTGGAATAAAGGCAAAAGGCGAGCATGAAAACGAGGAGGTATTGGTAGGAGCGTACCTAGGCAGGCGCCATCGGTGGCAGCAAAGCCCGGGTTGCATGCACAGGTGACGCCCTTGCTGTCACTCGTTGGCATGCACGTGGAGTTGCTCGGACACGTGGCGTGCTGGCAGGTGATGTCTGCCATGGCATGGGGGGCAGCAGCAGGGACGTGGCATGGTTGGTGAAAGCATATGCCAGAGAAGCTCCCTTCCATGAAAGTGATGAGATGTGTGCGGCATGGTAGCGAGGTGGCATGGTGGCATGGTGGCTTGGTGGCATGGTGGCATGGTGGCAAGGTGGCATGGTAGCAAAGTGGCATGGTAGCAAGGTGGCATGGTAGCAAGGTGGCATGGTAGCAAGGTGGCATGGTAGCAAGGTGGCATGGTAGCAAGGTGGCATGGTAGCAAGGTGGCATGGTAGCAAAGTGGCATGGTAGCAAGGTGGCATGGTGGCAAGGTGGCATGGTGGCAAGGTGGCATGGTAGCAAGGTGGCATGGTAGCAAGGTGGCATGGTGGCAAGGTGGCATGGTGGCAAGGTGGCATGGTAGCAAGGTGGCATGGTAGCAAGGTGGCATGGTGGCAAGGTGGCATGGTAGCAAGGTGGCATGGTGGCAAGGTGGCATGGTGGCAAGGTGGCATGGTAGCAAGGTGGCATGGTAGCAAGGTGGCATGGTGGCAAGGTGGCATGGTGGCAAGGTGGCATGGTAGCAAGGTGGCATGGTAGCAAGTTGGCATGGTAGCAAGGTGGCATGGTGGCAAGGTGGCATGGTAGCAAGGTGGCATGGTAGCAAGTTGGCATGGTAGCAAGGTGGCATGGTGGCAAGGTGGCATGGTAGCAAGGTGGCATGGTGGCGTGGTGACAAGGTGACATGGTAAGTGGCAAGAAGGCAAGGAGGAACGAAAGGAGGCAAGGCACGCACCAGGCTTGCAGGAAACAGACATCCATCGAGAGACCTTCTTTGTGCTGCAAAGACATGAGGATCAGACAAGGACACGAGGCCGAGACAAGGACATGAGGATCAGTCAAGGACATTACGAACGTGGCAATTGAATCAGACGTTACGTTAGGGTGGCAGATTAGATCACAACGCGAGGCACGACAGTCGCTCACGAAACTGGCATTGACTCCACGACCCACCTGGGCACGTTGAAGAATCTGCGCAGGCTGGCAAACTGCGGCTTGAGCACCTCATCCAGCGCCTTGCCCTTGCAGGCGGGGTTGGCAAAGAACCGTAGCTGCTTGCACGCCGCCCCTGCCCGCTGCTTCCCGCTGTTTCTGCCACCCTCGCTGCCGCCCGTGAGCCCGTGCCACCACACCTGCACGTCCCGCCCCGCCTTGGCCGCCGCGCGGGGAAGGCTGAAGCAGCGGAGAACATTAAAGCTGACGGGGAGGCTGACGCCCGGCACCGTTGATCTGCGTGGCCACCTGCACGCTCGCCCCCACCGATCCCCCGCCGCCGCTGCCGCTGCCACCCCCCGCCCTCGCCCCCATCTCCATCCCCAAGCTCGTGTTCCCACCTCCCCAGGTGACCTCGTTTTTTGTGCTCCTCCTTGCAGTCACATTGTCGCCGCCCTCTCTCATGCTCCCGTTCGGGCGATTTGCATGCTCGCCTGCTGCCACGTGAGCCGCTGGATGCAGAAGAAGCAGAGAGGTGAGAGGGAGCAGAGGGGTGGGAAGAAGCGCAGTATAGAAAACGCACAGATTCAAAAAGCGCGCAGAATGAAAGGGAGAGAAACGTCTCACCGCAAATCATGACGGCAAGGACGAGGAGGAGCGGAAGCAGTGCGGCAGGAGAGGAGGCCATGTCGTCAAGCCACCACGCCAGGTGGGGTGATTCTGGTTGAGAGAAATCAAAGTCTCTGGGTTCCGGGGGGAGTATGGTCGCAAGGCTGAAACTTAAAGGAATTGACGGAAGGGCACCACCAGGTGTGGAGCCTGCGGCTTAATTTGACTCAACACGGGGAAA